GCCCAACTACTCCATATCATTTATTTGGAAGAGTGATGGACTTAATGGATTAAGTTCTTAATGGGTTTAGTGATAAACACTTAACGCTAATTGTCATTTTATGTGAAACCCTAATTTCACTTGGGCTTTGTGTTAGGCCTTTCTATTGGGCTCTGATGTTTGGGCCAATAATGGGTCATCCAAGACCAATCAAATGGACTAGAGTAATTTAATGGGCTTTAGGGTAAGGCCCATGTGAGGGTTTGGGCCCAATTTGGAAAATAAGGCCATAGATGGGTCGTAGTTTGGGCCTTTATGATTATGTGATATTGGGCCATTAGAATGTTGAATGTTGGACTGGACTAAATGGTTGGGCCTTATGGTAAGATCTTATAAAGGTTTGGGCCCAATTTGGAAAATTGGGCCATGAGTTGGGCTTTGACCCATAGTTGACTTTTGGGCCTTTGGATTGCGCCTTGGGCTTGAATAAAACTAAGCTTGGGGTAAAACAGTATTTATCCCAAGTATGTACATATGGTTATGTGTTGGAACCCAATTAGTAATTGAGTGTTATTTTGATGTTGACAGATTCGGGAATCTATCATCCAGCAGCTAGGGTTTGGTCAACAGGACTTCAGCAGTGTGAGGTGAGTTTTCCTCCAGTAGGAACGGGTCTAAGGCAACAATACCGGCCTGTTATGTAGTTGTAGTATGCTGGGGTAAGCCCGATGTCGGGGTTAGCCCGATGCAGTTTATATGTTCCGGACTTCGGTCCGATGCCGGGTTGGTCCCGAGAAGTAGTTATATATGCTTGATGTCTTTGTGATTCATGCATGTTATGTGTTCCGGGGAAAAACCGATGTATGTTAGTTTATATGCTATGTGTTATGTGTTCTAGGGAAAGCCCGATGTCGGGGTAAGCCCGATGCAGTGTATGTAATTATGCTATATGTTTATGTTTATGTCATGCACTTGGTCATCTGGGAAACAATAATGAATAGGATGAAAACTAAGAGAAACAATCAATATCTATAATTTCTCAAACCACATACAACGGGTTGTTTGATACCTTATAGGACTTTTTGAAACAGAAAAAATTCACACGACTGATGAGCAATACCCATGGGATGAGTCATCTAAACCTCCTCATGAAGACCACAATTTAACAACACATTATTTTCATCTCTTTGGAATATATTCCTTAAAGATTAAAGAAACTACAATTGGAATATGAACAATATTCATTTTAGAAACCAGGAAAAAATTATACTTGTGTATTAAAGAAGTTCAACCTTAGCTAAAAAAAGATATTCTTTTTTTTAGTTACAATTTGAAAATAAATTGTACCTGTGTATTAAAAAAGTTGTACTTTAGATACAACAAATGAATAAAGATACTGGTAAAATAATTTTGGATATTAGAAATTAGTCATTATAAAGATAAGTTATGAGGTATTAAATGGGTATTTGATATATAATTTGACAAATGTAACCAAGTTTATAAAGTTTAAAGCATGTTTATTATCTATCTATCTCTTATAAAGGCGGTCATTGTCACTTATCTTGAACCATATTCATTTGAAACTCTCCAACTTTTCAACTTAAGCTACTTGTATGATAATACAACTCAAGAGTTTTTTAACTTTTGATATTTAATTGGTATTTATGACACATGATTGGTTATTAGATATATATAATTATATAGGTAGATGATCATATTGATAAAGTTTAGAGAATAACATGGGGAGAAATATGATTTGAGAACACACAAAGATCTATTTGTTATGCATGTATTTATATTGAATGAGAAAGAGGTAGCTACGACTTTTGAAGATGTCAATTTGTAGAAGCTAAGTCATTTGTTAATAGTTTTCATTATGTTCATGTCGGTATTCTTAAAAGCTATTGTATGTTGTTTTTGTTATATGAAAATGATATGATGAAGATGTTAAATGTAAGTAAATAGGAGTTTGATCATTTCTTTTATTGTGTATATGTATTTTTTTAGTTCCTATATCTATTGTTTCTTGAGAAAAAATATAGAAGTTGTATTTGTATTTTTTTTGTTTCATAGATAAACCATTTATCTTCAACGACATTAATTTGAGCTTTTAATATGTTAAACTTATTTATTATTCTATTTTTAAAGTTAACTATTTAACTTTTAAGATACCATATTTAATTTATTAGTTTAAGTATGTTATTTTATATAAAATATTATATTTTAACATCACAACTTTAGTTGAACTATTGATGTAATATACTTCATTTTATAATATGTTGCAATTATATTATGTATTTATATGATTGTTACAAACTATAATTTTACGGCCTTAAGTTTATAAGGTAGTTATGCAATTGTTATCTCAAATATATAACTTTGTATTATATATTTGATTGATATGTTCGTTGAGTAAAAATAACATACACTCTTATATAAATAAATACACAAAAAATATGAGTGACACATAATTAAGTTTCTAATAATTAGTTTGAAGGATTTTGATATTATATATGGTCTAGATATTAGATGATTAAATTATTCATTTAATTGAATACAAAATTATAAAAGTAGTATTTTTTTCGTAGATAAAACATATATCTTCAACCATATTAATTTGAGTTTTTAATATATTAAACTACTATATTATTTTATATTTAAAGTTAACTATTTAACTTTTAAGATAACATATATTAATTTGTTAGTTTAAATATGTTGTTTTATGTAAAATATGATCATTTTAATGTCACAGATTTTGACCTATTGATATAATATACTTAATTTTCTAATATGTTGCAATCATATTATGTATTTATGTGATTATTGCAAACTAGACTTTTACATCCTTAAGTTTGTAAGTAGTTATGAAATTGTTGTCTCAAATATATAACTTTGTATTATTTATATATTTGATTCATATGTTCATAGAGAAAAAATAAAATATACTCTTATATAAATAAATATACAAAAAACATTAGAGATATAATTAAGTTTTTAATAATTGGTTTGAAAGATTTTGATATATTATTTGGTCTAGATATTAGATGATTACATTATTCATTTAATTGAGCAAAAAATATAGAAGTTGTATTTTTTTTTTTTCATAGATAAACCATTTATCTTTAACCATATTAATTTGAGTTTTAATATGTTAAACTTTTATATTATTCTATTTTTAAAAGCTAATTATTTAACTTTTAAGATAACATACTTAGTTTATTAGTTTATATTATATATTTGATTAATATATTCGTTCAGAAAAAAAATACAAACACACTCTATATAATTAAATGCACACAAACTATTAAATATACATAAATAAAATTTTAATAATTAGTTTGAAGGATTTTGGTATAATATTTGGTTTAGACATTAGATGATTATATTATTCATTTAATTGAGTAAACACAATTTAAATATTTTAATCTTATTTATTTAAGTCTTATAAGTATCAATTAAGTACAATAAATAAAAAAAAAACTTTTTGATTTTGTTCCAAGTAACTTTTAATTGGACTTTTTGGAATTTGAAGAACGGTAATATTAAAATAGCGATTCAATGCAATTAACAGTTTTTTGTTATATTAATGTGGCCAAAGATATCTGTTGTAATTACTCTTACAAATAGTAAGTTAAATAATCATAATTTATATAATAACTTATAACCTATAAAAATAATCTTATATGAATAATAAACATAAAATATTGGATGCACATAATTAAATTTTTAATAGTAGATTTTGAAGTTTTGGTATATTATTCGGTCTACATATTATATGATAATATTTTTCTTTTAAATGACTAAACACAATTTAAACATTTCAATCCCGTTTAATTAGTTTTTATAAGTAATTATATAAATAAAAAAACCTATTTAATTGTACTCGTTTAATTTCAAATTACATTTAGTTGAAATTTAACTAAATTTGAAGAGTTGTCATATTAAAAAAGTTCAATGCAAAGTCCTATAATTATACCATAATTTACGAATAAGTCACAAACTAATTATTTTTTACGAAAAGACATGAATTACCAGTAAAAATGACGATTTCATATTTTTCCCGGTTTACAAGTTTTATTGTTGGCTTGGACGCATTAAAGTACCATTATTTTACCTTAATTTACAAATAAGTTCCAAAATAAAATTTGTTTACGAAAAAACGTGAATTATCGGTAAAAATGATGATTTGACTATTTTCTCACTTTAACACACATTTTACGGGTTTCATTACTACATTGAACGCCTAATCATTAAATGAACTAAGGAGATGGATATAATGAGTTATAGAATGCTACGTTTACCGTAAAACTTGATATTCATCTCATTAGTTCATTTTATGATTACGCGTCCAGATCACCAATGGAATCGGTAAAATGTATTTTACCAAGAACAAAAGGCATGAAATGAGTTGATGAAATTGATATGTTAGGTTATATAAGATATAGTTAGACAATTTGAAATTTCTTATAAACCTAAAAAATGATGAAGTTGTTGCTAGTTTATGTAATTATTGTATCTTCGTTGGATGTATTTCATATTCCAAAAAATATACAATGCAACAGAATATCAAGTTTTACGGTGGTCATATCATTATATAACCCAACATATCCATCTCGTCAGTTCATTTAATGATTAGACGTCCATATCAGCAATGAAACTGATAAAATATGTGCTATAGGGAGAAAAAGTTCAAATTATCATTTTTACCGGTAATTCATGTTTTTTCATAAATAAATTTTAGTTTGAGACTTATTCGTAAATTATGGTAAAATAATAAGACTTTAATACAACTAAGTCTGCAATGAAACCAATAAATCAGAAAAAAAAATTCAAATAATCATTTTTATGGGTAATTTATATTTTTTCACAAATAAATCTTAAATTATGACTTATTTGTAAATTAAGATAAAATAATATAACTTCTAGTAGATTTTCCTTATATAAATAACTTTTAAATAATAATTTTTTATTTTTGTTTTGTTTGATAAGCACATATAGAAACGGAGAAAGAAAGAACGGCATGGAAAATGGTTGGTCATTTTATCATCAAAAAACCTCCTATCTTCTTGATCAATCGCTAAACTTATCATCTCTAACATGACAATTCTTCAAACATTGCTATTTTCTCCAAACCCCCTTTCTTTTTCTCCTAAAAATCCCCAAAAAACGCTAAACCCCAAATCTTGTAACCCTAACACCCATCATGACAAGATCACAAGAAACTTCCCAAATTGCAAAAAGTTCGATAACAAGAAAACGATGGCAGCTCTAATGGGAACTGGGGTCGCCCTAACAACTCCTCTTTTCATGGGAGCTACTGCTGTAGCTGCTGAGTTGCCATTGTTGGGTTCTTCCCTGCAACTCGTGGAACCCTCCAATGCTCTCTCATTGCCCACTTGGGCAATCCATGTTTCAAGCGTTGTTGAATGGTAACTTACTGATGGATACTTTGATGCTCTGTTACGAGTCCACCCTAGCTTTTATTTTCTAATTTCAAACCTATTACTTTAGTGTATCTCCATGATTTGTGATTTTGCTCATTTTCCAAAATTCGAAGGATTACAGCAATGATTTTAGTATGGCAATATGGGGAGAAATCTGGATATGAGTCTTGGAAGGGGCTTTCATGGGGTATGGTGAGTTATTATCAATCCCAACTCCCTTTATTTGCAATTAGTTCACTCATTTTGAGTCCCCCATTGTTGTATGATATCTACACATAACATAATGAGTAAATTGCATCAGGTGCCTTTACTAGGAGGAGCATTTTGTGCGTGTACTTGGCATTTCTTTTATAACTCGGAATCACTAGAGGTAAGATTGATTGATCCTGTTCATTTTACTTGAATTTAAAACGCATTCATGTTCCTATATGATTCACTGTGTTTAAATTGTTCTATGAGTAGAAATAAAGTCACGAACTTTCATCAATTTTCAACATAAATTATAGGTTTTGGTTGCAATCCAAGGGGCATTAACGGTTATTGGCAATGCTACAATGTGCATAGCTGCATACCGAATCTATAAATCATCACAAGAACGATCCACTGATACATAAGCATCTGTAATTCTGTATCTCATTCATTATGTTTTCTCTCAACATGTGTTACATTTATAGATTGGTCAAAAAAATCAACACTGAAACAGGAAATTTCATTTTTTACACTTGTTCTTGAAATCTTATTAAGATGATCAGAAAGTGTTTGAAGTGTAATCTTTATAGAAAGCAGTTGTAAATGCTATTAAATTCTACTGATTTATATATTTGAAATGTTTATCGGGTATTGTTGAATTTGTTTGAGTTGATGAGAATCATTTAGTGAAAATATCTTGATAAACTGGGTTCTTAGGCCTTTGACTTCTGTTATGTATCATGAGAAAATTAGACTCCGAATCTAGAAAGTCCCTTAGATGACTATCTGTATACATAGCATATATAATTGTATCCAACAAATGTCTATAAATATTAAGTGGTCGTACACAATATATTAATATAGACAAATGCATACAATGGTGGATAATAGTCTAGTACGTGATAATATACGTGTATAAAATGTATTTTAATATAAAAAATTGCATGCAATGGAGGATGATAGTCTAAGTGAAGAACTAAAAGTAAGAATTATAATAAGGGTTAATGTCATAAAATGACAATTAATAATTCATATTTTGCTTTTTAGGCCACTTTTAATTGTATTCAATGTCACTAATTTTTTTCAGTTCTCATTACACACCGATATTGAATGTTATGTAGCGTCCACAGTGACATTCAATTATTTCATTTAGGTATATCTGGTGCCGGCATTGTGTTTATTATGATGTCACAAATCTGATATGACATAAATACATGGTCGAAATGTACTTTAATGGTGTAATAAGAACAAAATAAAAGTTAATGATCCATTGAATACAATTAAAAGATAAAAAAATAGAAAATTATGTCTTATAAGTGATATGTGATGGGAGCTCAGTGGTTGGTTGAGGTGTGAAATTTCACGCATGAAGTTTGGATGCTGGTAGACCTAAAATATGGTTAGTGTTTTGCAACTGACTTCTCACGTGGGTCTTGGGACGGGTTGACGCGGGGCCTGGAAATAGGTCCGGATACAAATTTCCTTTATAACTGAAACACGAAACATGAAGCAAAATCTAAGTTAGGGCTTGGAAATAGGTTAAAATTTGAATTTCTTTGTTGATCAAGTGTGAAATAATAGTTCCATCTAATGTGAGGGAGAGGATGTTGATGAAGTAGGGATACTCAGCTTAAAGTAAGTTAAGGGGAAGGTAAGTTAAGGGGAAGGTTGTTTCATCAAAGGTTCATGGATCAATGACATTTAGTTGATCTAATGACTTGCAATTCGTAGACATATTGAGTTGGGTTATTGTTGTTGCTCTAAAAAGCTTACAATTGTGAAATCGTTTAGCTAACGAATCTCTAACTTCTTTCCTAGTAATATACCTAAGAGCATTGGGTATGGGCCGGTGTTATAACGTCATCTTACATGCCACATCAATCTTAACACCACCATAAACACCATGCAGGAAATGGTGTTCCAATGTTATAACTTGTTAAGAGGTAGAAAAAGATAGAGAGAGAAAGAGAGAAAGAGGTAGGAAAATGATTTTGATTGGTTACTATTCCCGTTTCAATATGTGGTAACGAGCACGAGAAGTGCCATAACGAGCTTCAACGAGTTGGGGGGGGGGGGGGTGTTCCCCGTGTCATGACGCCGTTTTCGTGTGCCAACTCAGCCAATTCGTTTCTCGTTGTGACCCACACCGTATACTCTAAGAAATTGTTAATGAAGTTATGTATGTGATGGAAGCATCATAATGACCAGAGCCTCGTAACCGATTGGGACCAATTATTTGGCAAAGCGCCTGCCCTCATTTATGTGTTGGGCGTTCAAATATTTATTTTTATTTTTATTTTTATTTTTGTTTTATTTTTTGTTTTTTCATTATATTAGCTTAGTTTCTTTCTTTATGAATTTATTTTTGATAAGGCCCACAAACGTTAGTTTTCTATATTTTTGAACTTATTTTTTATAAGGCCCACAAACGTCAATTTAGTCTTATTGGTTTTGTTTCTTTGCTTTCTTAAAAATGATGTGAGTTCAATTTTAAGCATTAACAATTTTTTTTTTTGTCAAAAACAATATTTGATTTGATTGGAACTCATTCTTTACATAAATTCAAGATCACAATAACTCTGTCCTCTAGTTGTTTATATATATATATATATATATATATATATATATATATATATATATATATATATAGGGGACAGTTCAAATAAAAACAGTAAATAGTGTGAGAACGTAAAAACACTTTTTTATGTTATTATTCTGCAATGAATTTTGTATCGACAACTTTATGTCATTATTCAACAAAGAATAAATGAATAGTTAAAGGTTAAAATTAAAATTAGAATTTACTACAAAAATGTACATATATAAGTTTATAATAGAATAATAACATTGTAATGAATATATGACTAATCGAAAGTTAATATTTATATTAGAATTACTTCAACAATACACATATATAAAATTTATTACAGAATAATAACATAAACATAGTGTTTTTACGTTCTCACACTATTTACTGTTTTTATTTGAACTTACTTTTATATATATATATATATATATATATATATATATATATATAATTTAACTCATATTTCTAGGCTTTTTTATTTATTTATTTTTTGCCACGGACCCCCAAATATGTTTAGAAAAGACCCATAATTGTGATGTCCCAATCTTAACCAAATACAACATCATTTTTGTTATTTTTCTTCATTGGGTATGTAGTTTAGCCTATGGGATAATTCCCATAGACTTTAGATAGATACCAAATTCACATACTTGGGTCAATTTGGTAAAAATAAATCATCATTTTGTAATTTAGTGTTTGGTAGGGAGTGTGATTGAATCCAAAAGTGATGAGCGGTTGATCGAAGAATAAGAACGCGTAGTGTCTGAAGGTGTGTAAAGTCGTTGATTGGATTGAATAAATGATGAAGCGTACAAGAGAATTATAGTGCTCTGATAAACCTAACTAAGTATGACGAAATCATGGAAAACACATCTTAAACTGTACACTCACCCCGTTATGTTACATGTTATGCCATATAATATAGTTGTACTTGAAACACAATTTTTTCTTTTTGAACACACCAAATTTTATTGAAACAACCTAGCAAGATGCTAGGTAACAATTACAAGAAATCAACCCATATTTAAAGCCAATGATGGGTTTGTTGGCTGAAATAACCAAATCTTGTTTCAACTTAGTTAATTGACTCGAAATCCAGAAATACAAGACCATAATAATGCTATGATAAATAGTACATTTTCATCGATGTAACCTACCTACATGAAAAGCTTTTCATCCCAACATTTTTAAAGCAGCGTCATATGGTATCTTTTCATGCTTTAACCGTACACACGTAAATTATTACTTAGTCACGAGGCCAGCTACCGAGCTTATTTTCCGACAGAAAGAGGATTACTTTGGGAACTAGGGTCGTTTCTTACCAATTTATGTTCACTTTTAGGAACTAGGGTCCTTCTTTCTTACCAATTTATGCTCCTTTAGTTAAGTAAAACCATTGTATGTGGGTAATCAAATAATCATTTATATAGAACAACCATAATATATATGTTGTATAACGACTATTGTAAATGAAGTGTTTTTTTTTTGTTAAATTGATAGAACATAATGTATAAGATACATAAGAGTATCTAATGCTTTGAGTTGTGCATACACACCAACAAAGAGAATCATCGACTTTATTTGATATGATGAAACAAGAATTGGGTTCTCGATTTCCATGAAAGTAGAAATTAAGGTCAATGCTTTGGGATTCTCGTTCTGTCTAAATTACTTTTAGACTTGAGATAAAAGAATTCATATGATAATAAACTCATGGTAGAAAATGTCAAACACGGGATACAACCTTCAAAATTTGAGTTTATTATGTTGTAGCATCTAATAGAAGGGTAGTACAAAGTTTAGGTTTTTATATTCTCACACGTGATAAGAAGCTTCAGTTCCCACCATTAGGGGCTCGAGGGTTGACCTTTTATAAAAAGAAAAAAAAAAAGAATCTCCATCAAAATATGAAAGCTTGAGATACATATTTGTAGCATATTAGAATCTAACAATAGAAATGGTACAAAATGTTAAGAATAGGGTACAACCTTACATGCATAGTAGATAAATAAACTCATTTTAGCTTGTACTAAACAGCCTTCCATATTAGATGCTACAGCATTATAATCAAAAATTCTAGCAAATCGATAGGGAGAAAGAGTCGTTTCCTTGAAATGATCAAAGGTTGAACCTTTTGTTCTCCAAAAGAGATAATAAAGCAAGATTTTCTTGATGAAGTATGGTGGCTTTGTTCCTCAGCCTCTCATTCTCTTCCAAAATGCTCATGTTCTCCATGTACAACTTCAAGTTCCTCAACTCCATCTCTTGTTTGATCTTTTCTTCAATAAACTTATTAACCCTAAAACACACAAAAGAAAGAAAACCACACTCAAATAAGATTATTAATCCTATTGATAGAAAGAAGATAAATGTTAACAAGACCCACAAAATTAAAGCATATAATATGTACCTGTTAAGCCTATGTATTCGAACCTGATTCCTCATTCGAAACTTGGCTTGCTTTGATTTTGTTTTTTGGGTGAGGAAATGGTACGAAGGTGGTGACATGCATTCTGTGGTGTTGCTAGTACACATGTTCACTTATAGCTTTTGAGAAATTCCTATATTGAATGAGTAAGATGCGAGTGTAAATATACAAATTCCTATATTGAATGAGTAAGATGCAAGTGTATATATATACATATATGTTACATACAAAAGGAGAACGCGCGCCCCCCGGTCAAGAAATTCAATGATGACGAGGGGGTTTCATGATTGAAAAAAGAAAGAACCCAACAAGTATCATATTCTATGGACAAGAGAGAAAAGCCCAAGAACATGGAAATCATTTTTCTTCATCCTAAGCTTTCATTTCATTTCAATTCATTTACTATCTTTGCTATTTTTGGTACATTGTTACAATCAATACATATTTGTGGTGTAAGTATCGATTTATGACAAATTACAACATCATTTTGTGAACATTTATCCTATAGTTGATATATATTTTGATCGAATGTTTTACATTGCTATTACCTTTTTTATATTGATGCCACCTTGCTAAAGATCTCGTCTTTTTATTTGTGCGCGTATGGTGTCTCTAGCACTGTAATATTATTGTATTAGTTCGCTGGCAAACAACATAGAAAAATATGTCATCGATAAGTGAAGAACGAGTTTTAAAGATTGTAGATTTATAGGAAAAATCTATTGTAATAAACAAACAAAAGTTGTAATGAAATTATGTTGGTCTAGTTGTATATAATTAATAGTCATATTTTCAGAAAAGTAATAATTATATCCCACAAACTATTTTTAAATCAGTATTGATTTATTTTCTAGTCAATACTTTACTACCATTGAGGTAATAAAATTTTACTAATAATAATAGAATACAAAAATAATAACTTTATAGACCTTCAAAAGAATACTGAAATCTGTTGGACAACGCAATCATGTTTTGGTATAAATTTAATAATATATGATTTTTTAAAATTAAAAAAATGTATATAATAAAAAGAATAAATAACTAAAAGACCATATAGTATATATAGTAAAAATTACACGTTCGGTCTAAGTTTCATTTTCATTACATGGATAATTCGCGTGATATATACTTGTTGTGAGTTTCGTGTTGATCTATTGTTATATATCTAAGTGTTAAAGTGTTCTAAAATGACCATTTTGTTTTTGTGCTAAACCTAAAAATGCAATATATCAAAAGAACCAAATATCCAATTTAATCAATATTTTATGATAAAAATATTATATAAAATTTTAACAAAAATAAGAAAAAGAAATTATAAAGAAGTACGAATAATTTTGGAGAATATATATATATATATATATATAATTTTGGAGAATAATAATTTTCTTACCAAAACAATAATAAACATTTAAAAATAAATACAGAAGGATAATATACATTTTTAAATATGTTATGGACGAAAGCAGTTACAAAAAATATATAGATAACCAAAATACAAAAACAAAATTTAAGGCCAAACGTACAATTTCGATCAAAGCATATCCCACTCTTCTGTTATAGAGAATTGCAGAGTTGGTCTGCAGACTTCAAACATTTTCGTTTCGAAAAAACAAACGACACCTAATTTCCTCAAAAGTTTAGGACTTAGTATTTATCCTAAAAAGCATTGATGTACTTATTTACTACATTAGGGTGTTACAATAACGTCGGTGTGAATTTTTTTTTTTTTTGTCTATTTTAATAAATATTTATTTTTTATTTTTTAAGGTACCTATATGATCTTTGTAAAATAAATCATATTTGTAGTACAAAAAATCCATATTTCTTTTCATGGCCCATTATGAAGATCTTTTGAGTTTGATTTTATGACATTAGATTTTATTATAAAGTAAAGCAATTTTCCATAAATTTAATAATTATACTCGGATCGCGTATACTTAATTGTTTGAAAAATTGGTTATAAAAAAAATAATTATATATCGGAGTTGTGTTTATACTCAACTCTGTAGTTGACTCTTACTCGTGATAGTGCGGTTTGTCAAAACGATTAATCTTTAATAATAAGAAAAAGCTTTATACGCTTTCTATTTGTTGTTTTATTTTGCTTTTAAATTTTAAATAACTTTTCTTACTTTTTGTTTTTAATATTAATAATATTAATAGTTATAATAGATTAAGGTATAACTTGTGATAGAATTTGACAATTTGTAAATAACTAATATTAGTCTGAAGAAATACTTTACACATATTTTTTAGAACTAAAGTTTTTTTATTGGAATTTGGTATCACAAGTATATGTAGATAAGAGTACTTTCTCTCTCTCACAAAAAAAAACCCTTCTCTCGGTGATGTGGGTGAGAAACCCAAATCAGAAAATTTAATTCGATACAACGCGCAAAACCTTACCAGCCCTTGACATATGAACAAGAAAACTTGTCCTCTGAAAAAATTCATTTCTTTTGTCAGTAAGAGAAAAGGCGCTTATTCCATGAAAGAGGAGTGCAGCGGAGTCATAAATAAACAAGAATAGCCACTTCCTTATCCACGTTGTATCGAACAAGAAAACTCTCATATTTCTTGCACCATTCTCTTGATTCAAGAGTCTTTCTCTTCTTATCCCCGAGCATTTCGGTTCCTCGTGATTCAACTTCTCTTTCTGTAGTTTTAGTATAGTAAAGTGAGCGCTGAAGCGTTACAAGAATCGTTTTTAGAAAGATTCAACAACGAAGTTCTACCCCTGCAAAGCCCGACTCCTAGCTAAAACTCTCTTGTAAGTAAGTTATGTTTAACCTACTTTAAGTATAATTTATGTTTAAGTTCATTATCGTTATTATGAACTTATAAACAATATATGTGTTAAGTATTATAAATTATGCAAAGTGTTGTTATAATACCTTTTAACTTCTCACGATACGGGGAATCTGGTTTGAAGGGCCGCATAGGGTTTTTGGATTTCAGAACAGCTTAAATGCCAAAATGGTCCTGTCCCCCAGTGTTTTATGTCTGGCCCCTGTCTGTACATAGTAGTTGAAAAGTATTGTTTAACACTTATAAAACAATATCGCTCGTAAATCTAGACTAATAATTAGTCGCAATAAATATTAGACTAAAATCTAGTGGTAATGATACTAGGTTTCGACGAAGGAAAATAAAATTGTTAGAAGCGAATCGCTGCCTGAGTTTGGAGTCATCACTTTAACAAGTGAGTGCATAGTCCCTTTCATGAACATGATTTTAATACAAGTATTGATTAAAGTATTAAATATATGTTTGTGTGTGAAATATTTGTTATTGCCTGAAATACGTATTAAGAGCATATCTGATAATATATGATAATTTAGGATACATAATAAACCTAGATTAATTGAGATGAATATTGGGTAGTATCTCCTTATGAGTATGGGTGAGATATACACGGAGGGTCGAACTTTCAAATTTGTCATTAATCCAAGAGCATGGATTAGACATAGTCATTCATCCCTAGTCCGAGAGTATGGATTGGGCATAGTCATATGTCATTGATCCGAGAGCATCGATTAGACATATTCATTCGTCCCTAGTCCGAGAGTATGGATTGGGCATAGTTGTAACATCCCAAGACCAAGTATACCTTATAAACCCTTGTTCTTTTGGTAGTTGTCAAGTTTGGCCCTTATGTGAGAAAAGGTGGTAAACGAGTACGCGGGGCGTATGCGTGTGTAGGCTCATCGTACTCATGTGGGTGTTTTTGACGCGGAAGCCACCTACTACGCTGGGCGTACTAGGCCTAGAGTGAAAACCCTAATTTAGGGTGTGTCCCTATTTAAAGGACATGATGGCCTCATTTCTGGCCACCATTCCCAGACATCAACCCTCTCAAATCCTAATTTCTCATCCTTGAAGCTTTTGTATCCATTTGTGAGCTAATAATTGTTCTTGTGGTTTCTTTGGAGTGAAGAAGAAGCCTTGAAGAGGAAGGAGTGAGAGTCCAAGCTTTGGATCTGAGCTTATCTGTGATTGGAGCTTCAGTTGGAGGTATAAAGCTCAAAGCTTTCTCACCCTTTTTATTTGTGCATCATTTTAGTTCATTTTAGGGTTTTGGTCCCAAAGTTGAATGCTTTATGAGATATTGAGCTCCATAGCTTGCTATCAGCTCCTTTGAGTGTTTTTAGTGGTGTAGAGTCATAAAAATCAAGACTTGGACGTTTAAACTAAACCATGCATGAGATATGAGCAATTTTGAGAATAGAGAGTGAAACTTTTGGTGTTTGTGACTTTATCAGCCATGCAAAGGCTTAAAGTCACAGACTTTATGGAGTATGAGCCTTTAGGGAGTCCAGATATGAGATTTAAGCTAAGGTCTTAACGGATTAAGACCAAATGAGTAGGAAGAGCAAAACTGGGACGTACGCTGAGCGTAATCCCAGTACGCTCAGCGTAGGGTCGCGAATCCCCGATGCATGCATGACGATGGAGTAAGCCCAGCGTAGAGGGCTGGTACGCGCGGCATATGCGCTGCCGTTGACTTTTAGTTGACTTTTAGGGTTTGGTGAAATGGTGGACTATTAAGGCCATGGAATGGTAAAATGGTCTTTTATCCTTCTGTGAGTTTGTAGAAGGGTTAGTCTAGATTCTTTGAGATCCGTTATTAATTAGAAATAATTATCGTCTGTATTAGGCGGAGGCTAGACCGGTGATTTGAGTTCGAGGTTATCCGATTTCTTGCGAGGTGAGTCTTCTCACTATACTTACCATGAGTGGTATCTTTGTGTGACCAAGGTGCCTTGTGTGCTTACTTGTGTATTGTGATATCCTGCATTATGTCTTTGTGATTTATGCCGAGTATTATTATTATGAGCTTATTGAGTTGTGGGACCGGAGGGTCTCCACTGAGACACATTGATCGGAGGGTCGTATTGAGTTAGCCTCGAGTGGCTAATGTGATGTGTGTGGTATTTTAGGGAACTCACTAAGCTTCGTGCTTACCGTGTTATGTGGTATGTGTTTCAGGTACTTCTCAGGATCACGGGAAGGCGCCGGCTTTATTGTACACACAAGGCGGAGTCACATTTTGAGGATCCTGGATTGTGTTTAAAACATTTTCTGAATATGTGTTTTTGAAAATATT